CTCTCTCTCTCTCTCTCTCTCTCTCTCTCTCTCTCTCTCTCTCTCTCTCTCTGCCCCTTCCTTTCTGTTCCATAGAGCCCATTCACTAAAGAGAGGATTGTCTGACAATACCACGATTCCCAGGCGACAAAGGAAAGCCTGATCCTGATCCTGGGAGTTCTTTCCTGGAGACAAACTGGGTTTTTCTTTAAAGCTAGTGTGAAAGAGGGGACGCTGCAGGAAGGTGACTTCAGAACCCCTTGCCTTTACCACAGGCAGATCTTTACCTGTGAAGTGCAACTCCTGCCTCTTGTTGTTCCAGGGTCACAGAGCTCTCTGGATTCGAAAGCAAACTGACTTTCTCCTGGCTCTGCTGGAAACTGAGTGTGTGCAAGTATGTTCTTTCTTTATAGAAAGTTCTCAGCTTTCCATAAGGAAAGAGGTGGAGGTCTGAGTGGGGGGACCAGGGGGGCTCTGGACCGCATGGGAACCAGGCAGGGGTCCTGCTGTCTTGGCCGAGGATGGGCACTGCCTCACTGTAGCTGACAGCTCTCTGTCCACACTAAATCTGCCTGGCCAGCTTTTACTGTGGAGCAACACATACGGATAAAGAACAGAAAGAAGATACATAACTTATATGTCACTAGGAACTCATGAACCAAAAATAAATTCTATTTCTATGTTATATTTACACAATTAGAAAACTCTAAAAATGAGATGGTGAAGTCATAAAAACTCTGTTTAAGCCCCACTGATGTAAGCGATCTCTGTGATTGTCATTCTCATTCCCATGGATATTTAGAGCCAAATGTGGCTAATAAATAGAATAAACTGTGTATGCACAAAATTTAGATTAGAATACAGCATCACTGTCTGAGCCAATGAGAGGCGTTCCCACCCAATCATTCCCAGACAACCTTTGTGTTTGAGAATATGGCTAGAAGTTACTGGACCCAGTGCCGAGGCAGAGTTGGAGCTGACATGAAGTTCCTACACACATGTATTTTGCATAAATAAATGAAATAACAAGACATAAAAATGACTCAGATCCGGCAACTGTGAGGCAAGCCCACACGAGTCGAGACAGATGACTTTTGTTCATGTAGTTTCCATACCAGTTTCACATTAGTCAGTGATAAAAATACCATTTATATCCAGTGCTTGTAACACTTACGAAACAGCATCTGTGAGTGTGTGTGGTTTTTGTTTGTTTGTTTTTTCTCTTTTTTTTAAGCAAATCAAGTTTCAATCCTAAAGAACAGTCCTTTGTTCTCCACCAGCCCAGAATATTATTTTGGCATGGTCATAAAAACAAACAAAATTAACTACTATGCTAAATGTTTGCCTTTGTGCAAAATTAATTACATACAATACAATGCTAGCCATATAACACTCTACCTATACAGCACAATTTAAAAACAAAAAACAAAAAAACATAACAAACTTACCAGGGAGAGCGGAAGCCAAAGAGAAAGGAAGAAGCATGAGGAGGAATTGAGAGACAGAGAGTCCAAGAAATCAGTAAGACATAATAAATACTCATTTTGTTTTTGAAAAGTGACCTCCTCCTCATATGAAATCAATGTACATTAACAAAGTTCCATTCCCCAATCAATATTAAGAACAAAACATTCCTATCAGTACCTTAAACAGCTTATGGAGAGCACTCACAGCGAATGACAGGGCTGGTCATCTCGTGGCTAGACCTATTTATTGCTATTAGGTATGGCCTGGAGCACTCTTTAAATAAATATGAAGTTTTACTACTTTCTTCCAAGTGACAAAATGGCTCAAAAAAAAATCTGATGGAGCTGTTCTTTGTCCTAATGCTCGGATTCTGGGCTGTCCTGCTCACTGACTCACTCCCAATGAAGGGCTCTGGGTAAGGCTCCTGTAAGCAACCAGGCCTAGGTTCAGGAAGGTCAAAGTTACAACATAGTAGAACTGCCTGTAGTGAGGAGAGGGAAGAGGAAGCTTTGTGCCTCCCAGCCCACAGCACGTCTCTGGAGCTCACCTTGAGTGACAAGGGCAAATCACCTCATCTGTGAGTAGCCACTGAGAAATGAGGTCTGCCAGAAAAGCTGGTGGACCGCCCCAACAGCCATCTGTCTGTCCTACTGGCTACCAGCTCTCTCACGCTTGTCCTTCCCCATGGTTCCCTTTTGCCCTTGTCTTCGTGTTGAGGCTTCTAACATCCTGGAAATTTTGCAAAGATCTCCATGGATGTTCCAGTCAGGACCAGCTTTCTCAGTAAAAGTGCCAGCAGGCCAGCTCCCCTGTAGACCCTTGTGTGGCCTATGGCCCTTGGGCTTCAGAGTGGTTGTGAGAGGCTTCTTGCCTGGCAGTGACCGCTGGTGACCTTCACCGCTGAGTGGAACTCAGGTTCTACTGTTCACTGAAAACTGAATGAGGGAGGAACTCCAGGCAAAGACCTGAGGTCACAGTGACTCACAGAGGCGTACATGTTTACATGTAGGACACCTTTGACCCAGATAGACACTTATCTTTAAAAACAACAACATATGCATTTACTAGCATCGACTCAGAAATGTTTCCGGGGGCTCTGGGGACGTGAGATTGCTATGTACATCTTTTGTATCCAGCAGGAAAAATAGGTGAAAGGGCAAGGAGGGCAAAACAAGAAAGAAAAATTATTAAATTAATGCCACCAATAATTTTTAAAATAAATAGTAAGTGGACCCTTGACATTCTGGAATGAATAAATTATTTAAGAGAACAATGTGTTAAGATTGAATGTCAGGGTGAAAGGCAGGGAGAACGGATGTAGTGAAAGGTGGTCTCAGGCAGGGAGACCACCGTGTTGTGTCTGGTGTGGAGATGGCTCTGATGCCTGTGTCGTCCCTCGCCACACACTGACGGCACGTCAAGAGGCAAACACAATTGGGTTCATGCACTGTGGCAGCCTTGCTCATTCCTTACAATATCTTGTCTCCAGATTCCTGAGTACTTCACCATTTTCTGGGAAAAAAAAAAAGTGTGGTTTGCTATTTTATTTTAAGATGCCAAAGATTGTCTAAGACTTTGCAGTGTCTCCGGTAAGACTTTCAAAATAGTTAAGATTCAAAAGTTATGAAAAAAGTTTGGCACATTCAAAGTTGAATTCTACACATGGAAAAAAAATGGAATTCCGAGGCCTTTTGAACACGTTCTATATGCAGCCGCACACACCGTGGACTTGTCCGGTTTCACAATACGAAATTCTCAGTTGTTCTCTAAAGTAATTCAGAATAAAAACACATTCACAACCTGTAGCCGGCACAGCATACCTGAGTGAGAATGTTTAACCCCATCTAAAACAGTAACTTAAACCCTTTGTCAACATCCCAAAGAAAAATAGTAAGACAGAAATGTAAGACTTGAAAGACAGCGATGGGCGGAGATAAGTTTCCAAGTCCCGGTGTCTCATATTTAATACGTCTTCACCTAAATAAACAACAACAGTAACGGTAACGACAAAAACTCAAGTTTATGAAAAATCAGGAAAACTTAATCTGTCTCACACGTTACGAAGCGATTAAGACCACTCTGCTGATGTATGGGGGAGCCACAAATGCATGCGGGCTCTTTAAGAACTTTGTTGTTGTTGGGGAAAGGGGGTGAAATGTCAGAGTGTTCTAGTTCAGCAAACAAAAGCTCCTCAGTTGGCACTGACAGGCTCTGGGGCCTCGTTTTCGCTGCTATAGTCTGATTTGGGATCATCTTCGTAGTCGTCATAGGCTTCCATTTCATCCTCTCCATTAATCATGTCGTTCCCAGCCAGGCCTGCGCCGTCCATCTTCATACCATACGTGCTCTGGATGACAGGGAGGCTGGGCTCGGGGCTGGCAGAGGTGCTAGAGCAGTCAGATGTCATCTGAGGTGATGGTGTGGTCGTTGCCATAGTAATAGCACCAGGATACACAACACCTGTTCCTGTGGTGATGGGAATCTGAGGCTGTTGCCTGTATAGATTCAAAGACAAAATGAAAGAGAGAGGAATTCTTTATAGGTTCTCCCACGAGATCGGGACGTCCTAACCCACATTCCCCATGCCAGGCCTTCTGTAGCATGTCGGGGGCCAAAAGTGACAACAACCTTCCTTGGAAGAATCCCTGGGCTGTCCTGATGCTGTGGCTGGTGGTTAAATAATACAACGCAGCAATCTGCTGACAGTTTCCCAACATAAAGGCAGAACTTTCAACTTGGCAAGTATCACTAAGCTCAGATCACACTTGGCATTGGGTCGGGCACAAATGCTGCAGTTAAGACCACAACAGTCCATGTGAGACCGCTTTAAAAGAGACCAGAGTGTTTTTTTTTTAAATAGTCAAGAGGCACGAGCATATTGTAATGATACTCTTAAGAGGGTTGGTGTCATCTTCAACTTGGTTTGAGAACTACAGATGAAAGAGAAAAATGGGAAAGGACCTGGCAAGTCGCAAATAGTCAGATTTGGCAGATTTCCTTCCTTCTCTGTTCTAATGTGTACTTGCTGGAGCTGGACTTGCCAGGCTAGGATCCTTCCAGAATAGTCATCTTAGATGCCTCTGCTCCTGAGGCAGAGGATGGAGCTGGGGCGGGAGGACTCGGTAATAAAGAGCGGTGAGCTTTGCACCCTAATAATAAGATGCACCAGGCATGCAGCTCCTGCTACATCCCAGAAGATGCCAAGTCACACCAGATCACTTCTTCATACTGTGTCCCCAGCTCAGACAAACCAGCAGATCTTGTGAAGGTCATGCTCTCCTATGCAGGAAGAGCTGCCACTGCGTGCCTCCTTTCAGCCAGCCCACAAGAATTAACCTTCCACCAAGCTCAGACACTATCTCTTAGGTGACATTTTCAACTATGTAAAATTTATCAAATGAGTCTCAGTGAACATGGGCAGCAGATTATAGTCAACATACACCTCAAGTATCATTCTGTAGCTCTTGCTGAGCTGTGGTATTCATATGTTTGTAAAAATGGAGTCAAGGTGTTCTGGAAGGCTCTCCTACCTACTGGAACCAAGGCTTTTAGTCAATTGTCATCTGAGCAAATGGCCTTCTCATTGGCCTTCTACATTAGTAAGACTTTCTATCCACCCCACTCTCAGGAAACAAATGCATATGTATGAAGCAGCTTTGATGCCAGCTGGCCAGGGACACCCCAGGATGGTGTCATTTCCTCGCAGAGGCCTCTGCTCTCTTTTTGCAGAAGGAGGAAGGCCAAGATGCCTGGAGATGTGTGCTTACACTGCCTTTAGGGACCTTCAGCCACCACAGGGTGTCTGTCCCCTGATTCTTTAACCCTTTACTAACATAATGTATGTTGTGTGATTATAACACATATCTAGATAGATAGATAGACAGACAGACAGACAGATAGTTATAACTTCATCCAACAAACATAATCACCCCTTGGATATTTACTGCTCCTGAGAAGGCATAATTTGATAACTCAACAGCACCTATCTGAGCTAGTACTGACCCTGGACTTGATATTAATCCAGCTGCTATGACTCCTATGTTGAATCTGATCTCCTGAAGAAAGCAAGTGACAGGAGAAACTCCTGTATCTGTAGATGCACCTACAAAATCCTGCTCCCTCTCAAATTCTAAAAACCTATGTTTCCTGCTTCTTAAATTTGGAATACATTTGCACAAATTTAATTTCATGTGAATATTCCAGGGGATACTGTATTACATTTAAAACTGATTTTGGATAATTATAACAAAATTATTTTTACCTTAATTTGCACGTGTAGAGAGAACACTCCCCTACAATATTGGCCCATTTTACAGATTTCCTAGTGTTACAGCTATTTTAAACTTTTCAGACCAACACAAACTATCAAATGGTATATTTTCTTTAAATACAGAAAACATGTGTTTTTCACAAGAACAGGTGGTTGCTTTTTGAAATTAAATTAAAGTATCTGTAGTGTGTGTGTGTGTGTGTGTGTTATTTTTATGTCTTAAATAAATGCAAGTTGATCCCAAAGTCTGGTTCTTGGTTCTGTAGAGCCCTTTCCTAACCTAACTTTCTTTCCACTCCTGGGATTCTTCCATGGTTCACTGCTATGTTCCTCTCCAGGCCTCTGATCCACCTACCACCTTCCTAAAAGTTGTTTTACTAGCAGGTCTGGAGATGGGGTCACTCCCTCCCTGCTCTGACAGGCACCCAGATGAACTCGGGCAGAGAAAGTGCAGTTCCCTGCTTCTGCTCCTTACCTTTAAAGTGTGAGTTTTGCACCAGTCTCTGGTGCTGTCCTGACAGCAGCATAGGCCCCTTCTCCAGCCCACACCTCCCTCTCCTAGACAGCCCTTGAATACTTTCAAGACTCACCAAATACCTGACTTCTCTCTCTAAGATGATGGTCTGACTTTCCCTTCCATGTGGCAATGAGACACAGCTAGAAGAGACGTTCTGCAGGCTCCCACCATCACACTGCTTCACTGGTGTTTCTGAGCCCAACCCTCTGCTTGTACTGTACACGTTTAGTGAATTCCAAATCTGACACAGAGACCTTGTTTGTCCACTGAACCTGCTTTCCATGGCTTACTACCTCTCCCTTCCTCTAGCTATGGCTCTACTACTCTGATGTTCTAAAACAAAACTCAATAACGCTGTCTCTACACTTTTTCCTCTCAGTTCTTCCTTAGTCCCATTTCGATTTCTCCTGACACTGTACTGAAACAACTCAGGAGGAGAACACCAATAATCTCCAAAATACTAACTCCAAAATCAGCTTGGTCCTAAACCAATACTGTGGCATTAAATAGTGTCTGTGTGCTGATAATGCCAAAGTTTGTACCTCTAAGCAAGTACCTGTCTCCTAAACTTCCCTCCACTCTCTCTCTCTCACACACACACACTCACACACACACTCACACTTGAGTGTGCTTTTGTCTGGATTCTAAAGGCTATCTCAGTCTTACAAGTGCAAAACCAAACTTGTAGTCATCCTCTGGATTTCCAGTCTTCGGTGGCCATTCTGATCTTGGCTAACAAATACTTCCCATCTTTCCAGTTCCTCAAGCCAATCCTTAATAAGAGTCCTTTCAATTACTGCAGCTAATCCATTAGCAAACCATGTAGGGTCTCCATCAGGAAAACGTCTAGAATATATCTACTTCTTGGCACCTCTCCTTCTACACACCTGGTCGAACCACCGTCAATTCAAGCATGATTTATCCTAGGAACTCAGCCTCTTTCTAACAGGCTGCTCCTCCTCAGACAAGTTTCAACACAGTGACTAGAGCGATCCTGTCAAAGCCCAGCATCTCTTTTGCTTTGTTTTTAATTCTTCAAAGCCTTTCCTCTGTGCCCAGAGTCAAATTCAACTTCACAATGGCCTATAAGGTCTTTCACAGCTTGGCTCTGTGTCATCTCTCTGAGATCTACAGTTCTTCCTTCTGATTCCCTCTGCTCTGCTCCGGTCATACTGGCTTCTGGCTTCTTGAATGAGCAGGCATAGTTATATCTGGAGACCTTGAGAGTTGTGTCTCCTCTGCCCACTGACTGCATAGCTTGCTTCTTCACCTGCTCAGCTCTCACTCCCTCAGGAAAGCACTGGGGCTACCCTAACCACTGGACCAGCCTCCGAACACTCTGCCACTGTCCCTTTCCTGTCTTCCTGTTCTCTGAAGGTGCTTGTATCTACTTCATACTTATTTATTCATTGATTGACTGTCTGACTTCTTCCACCACTGGAATGTAAACTTCATAAGGACAGGATTCTTCACTAACATAGCTCCAGAGTCCAGGAAATGCCTGACACAGAGCACACAGCAAATACATAGAGTTAGTGATTCTCTGATGTTGTGCTGTGGAATACATTGAGTTAGTGGATGAGGGGACAGACCAGTAAATGGGAGGGAAAAAAATGAAAAGATGTAAGTAGTATCTCAGACAAGAAAAGAAATGAAAATAGAAGTCTGGGAAGGAGCCAGGCAGTAGTGACCACACCTTTGATCCCAGCACTTGGGAGGTAGAGGAAGGAAAATCTCTGTGAGTTCAAGGCCAGTCTGGTGTACAAGAGCTAGTTTCAGCAAAGGCTTCAAAGCTACAGAGAAACCCTGTCTCAAAAAAAAAAAAAAAGAAGAGAAGAGAAGAGAAGAGAAGAGAAGAGAAGAGAAGAGAAGAG